CCACATGATCTGACATTCCCAAACAAAAAAGTCTGTACTTTAAGACAGCATGGTCCACAGTGTCAAAAGCTTTTGACAGATCAATAAAAAGAGATGCACAGTACTGCTTTTGATCAAGAGCAACAGTTGTATCATTTATCACTTTTGTGGCTGCAGTGATGGTGCTGTGTTTTTTTCTGAAGCCTGATTGCAGTTTTGAGAGAAGTTCATTAGAATATAAAAACTTTTAGTTGATTGCTAACAAGAGATTCAAGAATCTTTGACAAAACACACAAATTTGATATTGGCCTGTAGTTAGTTAAACAGCTGGGTCACCTCCTTTTAATAAGGGAGTAACAAAAGCAGACTTCCAGACTAAAGGAACCTCTTTATTTTGGATCGAAAGATTAAAAAGAATTGTAAGGGGCTGTGCTAAAAAATCAGCAGCCTTTTTTAAAAAAAAGTAGAGCTCTATCATGTCTCGTCCTGGGGGCTTTCTATGATCCAGGGCTTTAAGGGCCTTATGCACTTGTTGTACCGTAAAGGGAACAAAAGTAAAAGGGTCCCCAGAAAACACTGGAGGATCTAGACAAGACATCACAGAAGTCAGTCCAGAAGACTCAAACGGTGAGCCAGATGAGAAAAAATGCTTATTAAAGCAGTTTAAGACCTCAGTTCTCTCATACACTGGAACTGAGTCTTTCAGAACAAATTTGGGAAAGGCCTGAAAACTTCTATTAACAGATAGAGTCTTAACCACTTTCCAAAACYTCTGTAGATTATTGAGGTTCTCGGTTGTGACAGATAAGTGATATTCTGACTTTGCCTTTTTAATGAAAGAAGTACATTTATTTCTCAGTTGCCTGAAAGTGGACCAGTCTGTATCAGTGTCACTATCTCTAGCCCATGCCACGTTTCGCTGATGAATGATTCTGGAGAAAACCAGGGGTTCTCCCGCCCCTTCACTCTAAATTTCCTAATGGGAGCAWGTTTATTTACAATTTTAACAAAACTTTTCTCAAAAAAAGTCCAAGCTAGCTCGACATCTGGAAACAAACCCATTTGCTCCCATTTGTCCTTAGACAGATCATGGTGAAAAGTTTGCTCCTGAAATATTTTCAAATTCCTTTTACTAATAATGTGTGGTTTACATTTTGGAATTTTAGTGTTCCTGGAAGAAGCAACAACACAATGATCACTCAAATCATTGCAGAAGACACCCACGGATGAGAATTGGTGGAGCATTTGTTAGAATTAGATCAGTCAAGGCAGACTTATCAGGACTTTTTAGATTTGGCCTTGTGGGTAAATTAATCAGCTGGCTAAGATTAATAGAATCACAGAAAGATTTATATTTATCCGAAACTGCATTTAACCAGTCCCAGTTGAAGTTGTGGTGGAAGAATATCTTGACTCCCTAACTACATATTACCTTGACATGTCATGTTCTGTATCTCTTGATAAACTGCCATTTTATAATCTGTTTCTCGTGACTCTTAAGATACTGTATGTACTCATGTAATCTTATGGCCTATTTACTTGTAACCATGTCATTGGTTTCCTGGATATCTCTGACGCTCTTATTTTGTTAGCAGGATGTATATATTGTCTGTTTTCCTGTTTCCGGGTCAGCGAGAGCTTGACAGACGCTTCGATTTGCGTCTGTCTGGCTCTGCTCATTCTTTGCATATGCATTTTTCTATTAAATAATCTGAGATCGAGACGACACAGTTTCCACTTTGTTTATTTCCCGCATCTCTGCCCTGGCGAAAAGGCTAGCCACGACAGATGGCGTTGTCAGAAAGGACTCTTTCCGACGGCAGGCTAGCCCCTTTCCGGGGCCGAAAAACTCTTTCGTTTTTTACTGTTTTTCCCCCTCAACATTGTTTGGGGGTTTTCTTTCGGCTCGGGGACGGGTGCACTGCTCGGAAGAGGAAAGAAACTAACCTAAATTTTTGGAAAATGCAGTGAGATTATTTATGACATTTATTTGTATTTCGATGCTAAGCTAAAACGGCGGCTCAGTGGTTAGCACCGACGCCTCACAGCAAGAAGGTCCTGGGTTCGATCCCCAGTTCGGACCTGGGGTCTTTCTGTGCGGAGTTTGCATGTTCTCCTCGTGCTTGCGTGGGTTTTCTCCGGGTACTCCGGTTTCCCCCACAACACAAAAACATGTACAATAGGTTGCCTTCAGGCCCAGGCCTCCCTTGAAAAAGAGATCTGGGATCTCAATGGGACTTGCCTGGTAAAATAACGGTAAATAAAATATATACAGTGGTTTGCAAAAGTATTCATACCCCTTGAACT